GGGGGTGGGGGGGGGTATTATTTGGTGTTTCTTCTGGTAAGTGGATGACACAGCTGATGACTACTTGATGGCCTAAGCAATAGACTTTTTCTTAATTTCTTAATCATTCTTCATTTGAGAAGAAGGAAAGGAGAACCAGGGAGGGCCAGGCGGCTATTTGGGGCGGAGGCATTTATTAGTCCAAAGTACTTGGCGACTAGTTGATGGGCTCCATGATTAACTGGAGTGATTGACTACTGCCCGGTCTTGTTTTTCATGACGGAAAGACAGATGCCTCTTTTGGAGCGGGGCGTTTACTTGTCAAAAAGTAATTTGTTGGATGTGTTCTCGTGAGATTTTGCGAAAGGTCCTGCTTCTCATATATTCCTGCACAATAGGGACAACCGAAACAGTGACAAATATTTTTCGCAAGCAGGAAGTTAGTCCCTGTGTGTGTGTGTGTGTGTGTGTGTGTGTGTGTGTGCGCGCGGGCGTAACATTAGCGTTCATGTGTGATGGCTTTCGGCTTGTACGTGCCAGCTGCCATGAAGCTAAAAATAAAGCTCATAAGAAAAGTGACCAGTGACCATATAAGCGATATATCTCAATATCAACTTGCGTTCACCCTGTCGTCGCCTTTGAGAATCAATTCGAACAATTTCTCCTCTCGCGTTACACAAAATATTGGATTTTAAAGAATGGATTTGGTGTTCATTCGTTACGTCTCAATCTTATGGAGCAATTAGCATGGCTTCTCCATCTTTCCTTTTCATCTCTTCATGAGATGTTTCTATGTTATTAATTGATTATTTTAACTCTTTTTTTCTGCATAAAAATGACCTAAAGACATAAATATATAAACAAATAAAAAGAAAAAATAGTAATCAACAGACAACCAAAGGCACTTGTGATTACTGCTGGGATAGGCTTGAGCATTGCCCTCGTGAGGATGAAGCAATTCAGATAATAGCTGGATGGATGGATAAATCTATACATGGATCAAGAATTTTTTAAAATAGAAGCATGGATTTTTTTTTTTTTTTACATAAATAAGAATGCGTCAATGAAATACCATAGCCTGCAATATGTCCAGATGTGAATGTGAAAAGCAGCAAGAACAGTCAGCAGCATTATATGAAGCAAAAAAAGCCTTTTGTGTATCAATAAATAGACTACATTTTGCATATTAGCACGGATTAAATGATGAATAATACATGAATGGAATACTATGGCATTAAATCTATGTAGACATCGAAGTAAATCGCAGCAAGAGTAGTCAGCAGCATTGAAGGTGCCAAGAAAACTGCACATGGATCAATAAAGAGTCTATATTTGGATTGACAATGACACGTGCGTCAGAGACATCGAAACAATAGGGTGCCGTATTATACTGTGCATCCAATAAAAACGTCAGTAAAAATAGTCATAAATTGGCAACTGCTTTGCAGAAGACACACAAGAGCAGTCCATACGGTAGTTACATTGCACGTGGAAAAAAAGATGCAAAAGCTTGATTCTCTCTGCAACGGCGTGTCTGGACATTTGCGCGGAGTTTGGTTTTCAGGCATTTGGCACGACAATATTGCCTGAGGACCTCCTCCTAACTAAACATGAAGTCATAAATATCAGTGGCACAAGCTCACGCACTTAAACATGAAGTCACATCATGAGCGCAGCGCCTTATTTGGTCCCTCAGGAAAAAAAAAAAAAAAAAAAAAAAGACAGAAAATCCTTCTTATTGTTTGTTTGTTTGGAGCCTACAGCACAACAACAACAAAAACAAAACCCAAGTATCTGAAGAGTGGTGTGTGGACTCCACGTTAGATTCTTTAAAAATGTCCCTGTTTTCATTTGAACTATGTGGCATTATGATCCCTGAAGCTTTCAAGTGACATACTTTTTCAATGTGACTTTAAGAAGTTAAGATTAAAAAAACGACAACAACCTAATCCGATTTCCAAGAGCCTCTGTTTCAAGTCAGGCATCTGCATTCACATTGGATACTTTTACTCTGAGGCCCTCTGCAAACGTGGCTATTGATACCACAACTCTGCGTTCCCTCATGTGGAAAATACGCCTCGGGTGGCATCACATCAGGCCAACTCACGTCTGCGGCCTTCTTCTCCGACAGCTCCAGTTTCTCTTGAGCGTCCTTCAGAGCCTCCGAGTATTTGTCCAGCTCATCTTCTGTTCCCTTCAGCTTCTTCTGCAGAGCCAGCAGGTCATCCTCCAGCTGAAACGTCAGTCAGGTGTTACTGTGGATCACTCAGCCGCGAACGAAACCAGAGCGAAATCATCTGTCATCACATCATAAGGCAGGAAGAGGTTGAGAAGGAGCAGGGTTGCTCCCAAAAGTACAGTTGTTGTATTTTACTGTGAAACAACAGGAATAATAAAGTATTTGATCAACTGCAGATGAGGGAGTTTTTTTGTTTTTAATTTCTTTATTTTATTTTTTTTTTTATAATAGATACTGTTCACTGGTAGTATTTATCTATTTTTATGCATTGTCAATGTCAGAAGTGGAAATAGTTGAGCATTTATTTCATCAACTGCAGATCTGGGAGGCATTTCTTTATTTGTTTATTTATTTATTTACTGTATTTATTTTTACAATAAGATGATATTTGGGATTTTTTTTGTGTGTGTGTGTGTGTGTGTGTGTGGCTGTAAACGTTTATCTGTGAAGGGGGAGGCATCTATTAGAGCCGAGGAATCTATTTTATTTTTTCATAATGGGAAACAATACCATAAGCATCTTACAATGAATAATTTGTTTGGGGGTTTTGAGGGTGGCAAGAGTGGGAAAATTATTGAGGTCAATTATTTGTGTAGCATTTATTTAAATCAACTGCACACGCTGCGTTGCAATCTGTTGGAATCTATTTGGGGCAAGCAGGCTATTTTGGGGGAATAATAGTGAAAAATGTCACTATTACAAGATGTATGAAAAAATAAAGTCATGTTTTAGGATGTCAGGTTTTCTGGCATATTTCCCTCATATCTTGTTGGTGAGAAAGAAGGATATTGCCAATATCTTACAATTTTTGAATGTCTCTGTTATGACTATGTCAGAAGATGAAATTATTCAATTACTTGTGTAGCATTGATTTTATCAAGTGTAAATGTATGTGGGGGGCGGGGCTTATTTTAAACTTCTGCTTGGGGTATACAGTATTTCAATTGACGTCAAGTGAAAGAGAAGTTGAAAACGGAAATGCTGCAAAACGGCAAAGAACAAGGCAGATTTTTGGAACCCAAAAGTGGCAGAGCGCCCTGCGATATAAAAATCACAACATTGTGGAGGAAGCGCCTGTTAGTCTACTGGAGCCCGACTTGTCGTAAAAGTCATTGTCACCACATTTGACATGAGCTCATCTTTAACACTTTACAACACACAGTAAGAGCCCACACTTGGTAAACTTCGGCGGCTGCTTTCGCGCTCTGGTAGGTGCTGCTGTTTTGGGAAGCATCAACGGTCAAATCGGCTCACCGTGAGGCAACAGGCAACTACTTGACGGTCTCAGCAATGAACTCTGTAATGCCTAACATAGTGTCTCGGGATTTTTTTCCTTCCTGATGAGAAAAGGGAACCATCTACTAGAACAGTGGTTCTTAACCTGGGTTCGATTGCACCGCAGGGGTGAATTAGGTCTCAGGGGTTCGACGGAGCCTCTGCCATGGAGGTAAAGACATACCCGACTCAACATATCAATTAGTTATGACACGCCCGCTTGGCCATCACTGGCTGCAGATGATCACATAACAACGCTTGTCCAATCAGTGCTGCGGGAAATTTTGTTCGCTCAGTTGTCAACGTGTGACTGTCGTAATAAAAAAAACAAACAAAAAAAACCCGCATACTTATGTCTTGAAATTTGATTAACTTTTTTTCTGTTTTTTTTAATAAATGCATTTTTTTATGTCTTGAATTTGGAAAGAGTCATATTCTTGTTTTTCAAGGGTTCGGTGAATGCGCATATGAACCGGTTGGGTTCGGTACTTCCAACAAGGTTAAGAAGCACTGTACTAGAAGGAGGTGTTTCTTTGTTTTTAGTGGATGAGGCACCCGGTAACGAGTTAATGTGCTCAGTCATCAACTCATTGTACTGGCACGAACAATAACATCGATGAACCCGAGTACTACATCTTCATTTTCGAGAGATGGCTGTTGTTTTAGATAATACAGTCATAAAAAAAAAAAAAAA